TACCTGCCCATGAGAAACTTGGGTTACCGTGAAAGCTTTTACTAGACTCTGGCCCCTTCCTGAAGGGGCTCGGGCCTATCGTGCCGCTCCTCTGAGCTGGCGGCCAATTTATCGTTCTTCTCAAACTGGGAAAGGCCCAGGAACATGAAGAGGGAAAAGCATGTAAACTTGCAACCTACACGTCCGGTAGTCTTCACTCACTCTCCTCAAATGTTTGTCGAGGAGAGAAGGGCCCGTCAGTGCCCATTTTCATTGTCACCTTTCGAGCCAGTACAATGTGAAGTTACATTGCATGAGTCCATTTCTCTCGTCAACAGGAGACAATTTGGGGGTCAGCCATCGCAGTCTTGTCAATTGCCTGTGGAAAACGTGCGCCCCTTCAACTTAGTTTCAAAGAGCAGGAAGGTGTCTGAGTGGGTGTGAGAGCTCAGTTGTAGTGACGTGGTCCGACTCCGGAAGGGAACGTGATGTCTGCGATGGCTTCTGTGCCCAGAATGGACAGGTGTCAGAGACAGAGAAGAAAAGTGGTGTGTAGCAGTTGGATGTCTACTACCGGTATCTTCTAGAAACTCTGCTGGTGTTTGGTTGTATCTCATCCCATGTCATCCTCACAGCAGCCCCATAAACTGATATTTTACCTTCAGTTTACATATGTGGAAAATAAGGCTGAGAGGTGAGGCAGCTGCACAAGGTAAGTCCGTAAGTGGCAAGGCTGAACCAGGTCTGACTGCGAAACTTCTGCATGTCCTATCAGGTAGGGAGAGAGGGTACCTTCACCCGCTCCTTGGCTAGCACAGAGTTACTGCAAGAGGCCTGTAATTTGTGATTTTAACGCTTATGCTATTGGTAATCTTATTCTTAAAGATTTTTTCAAGAGACGGGGTCTCGCTTCATTGCTTAGGCTGGCCTGGAATTCCTGAGCGATCCTCCTGCCTCAGGCTCCCAAGTAGCTGGGACTACAGGTGCAAGACACCAAAGGTTTTTTTGGTGAGTTCCAACCTCATCCTGGGGGTTGGGGTAACAGGAGTAAGTAGGGCGGTAGAAAGAAAGAAAACCTGAATCGCAAGAGGCATGAGAAGCCATGGCAGAGCGGGTCAGGAGAGGCACAGTCATGTAGGTGTCCCCACCTGGAAATTCATTCTGTGCTCCTCCTTGTTCAAACCTTGGGGGACACAGGGCTGTTTTGCCAAGGCAGGTAGCTCCTTAGGGGGGCTGCTGTGGCTGTTCCCCGTGCCCCCGGCCCTCTAGGCGTGTCTTCAGTGATGCCACCTGGGCCTGCCTGTGCCCAATGTCAGGTCCCACCTCTTCTCTGGCAAGGCTTTAGCAGTTGCGAGTTAGCCTGTTCACTAGCACAGCCATGGGGGTCGGGAAGTCCACGGACTGCTCCTTCCCTGCAGCCTCCTCTGGCACCTGGAGCAGTGAGTGTAGCGTCCTCTCTCCCCCCGGTTCGGGCTTCCCGGGTTCCCTTCCCCCTTTTTTCGGGTTGTTCGGGGCCAGGTTTTAAAACCCCTTTACTTAAAATTGCCGGTTCTTCACCGGGGCTTTTGGGGTTTTGAGGTTTTTTTCCCTTTTTCCCAAGGGGGTTTTTCCTTTTTTTGCCCGGGTCCCCCATAGCGCCCCAAAGCAGACGGACAAGGGACGTCATATGCCATCAGAGACTGTCAAAGAGCAAACATTTCGAAACTACGTTTCTTCCACCAAAGACAATGCCTTTGCTCAGGTTCGCCCTTTTGCCCAGTACATAATCATAAAAGGAGCTTGCTGAATCAGGGTACAGGGCGAACACTAGATCTTTTATCTGTTTATGTATCAGGTTCCTCTGTTCAAGGTGTCTCACCAGTTTCCTTGATTTTACAAGTAGTCAATTTTCAGTTTTTTTGTACCAAAGGAATATAGAAGTAGTAGACTCAATTTCCAAATCATCTATATTTGGCTTTGGAAGGAATTTTGATATGCACTTAAATATGCATGTGGGTGTCTCCCCACTGCAGGAATCCACAGTGCTGTGCCCCAAAGGAACTCTGTCAACAGAGAAGGGGACACTCACTTGCTAGGGGCTGGGAAATGTTCCTCTTTTGTCAGTGCCCCTGTGGCAGACACACGGCAAAAGGGCCCCCATTCTTCCCCTCCCTGCGCCCACTCTGCAACTCTTCCCATGGAAGGGGCTCTTTCCCCACCCCTTGAATCTGGACCAGCCTTGTGACCTGCTTTGGCCCACAGAATGTGGCAGAAGTGACAGTGTGCTAGTCCAAGCCCAGGCCTCAAGACGCCTGGTGGGTTTCTGCTTGTTCTCTCAGGCCCCTGACACCACCATGAGAACAAGCCCAGGTAGTCCGCTGCAAGGATTGGGGACCACGTGGCACGAGCCCAGTCAGCCTGCTCCTGCAAAAGGGTGAGCAAGCCTGGCCCAGCGGGGCCCAGGCCTAAAGAACCACTTGAGTGGATCCAACCCACTTAACTGTGAGCTACATAGATGGTGGTTGTTTTAAGCCACTAAGTCTCAGGGTGGTTTGTCACACAGCAAGAATCCCCCTTCCCCAGCCAAATGAAGATTCATCACAAACTGCTCTTTGCATTTTCGGGTAGAGAGAGAGAAATTCATCCTTCCTTCTTCTGGTAGCCGAGTAAAATGTGAGTAGGAAACATTACATCCCATTTCCCATTCAGCTCCTTCATTGGGTATCCAAGCTGTATTTTAAAGAACTTTCTTATGAAAGCCACAGCAGATATATCATCAAAGCAAGTATTTTCTGCCCCGACTCTGTTGTCAGGGAACCACCACTAAGATGTAATAAAACCAACCAACCTTTGACACTGCAACACACCATAAAGATCAGGAATAAGTTGGATCAACGATTTTACAATGAACGCTGTTTTAACAAGCCATGAAAAAAAATTTTTATGGTCAAATACAAGTTTAATCTCTTTATCATGTCCCCCAAATAATCTTCATTATTGCCTTCATTTCATTTACATTTGTCACAAACATCTCTGTAATACACAGACACAAACTTGCATTTGCTATACATTTCCTATTATTTAGTTGCCTTTGGATCAATACAGAATTAGTAGGGATCAGTGTGGGAAAGAATATTACCTTTTTCTGAACGTAGATTCTTACAGCACCTTTGATTGAAGGAGCTCAAGGCACTTTAATATTCACTGTAGCATCCTTTTGATGTCTCTAGGTAGGGAAACTATTATAAATTATCACTATCACCTTTTTATGGAAGGCAAAATGAAAGCACAGAAAGGTGAAGTAGTCTCAGCGAGATGACAGTCGCAGTAGAAACTTGGGTTTTTAGCTCAGCATTCCACTTTGTGAACTGTAACTTTGTTTAATATATTCCATATCAAAAGGGATAATAGCTTCTTCCATTTTTATAACATCTCTGTGGATGGACGTTAACTAAAAGGGCAGAGCAGAAGGTAAATTCCCACCAGTGGATCAACCTGGCAGTGCAGTTATTTCCTGCGGTTCTTTATGTGAGCTAAGGGGGGGGCGGGTCTCATAAATAACACAGCCGTCCTCTGCTTCTCCATTAAAAATTGTAATCAGCTGCTACCATCCCGGCATTTCCAGAACTGCAATCAGGTGATTGATGGTCATTCTCTTCAGCTGGGCATCTGTGGCCAATAAAGTCTGGACAATGATCAGCATTAGTGCTCGTCTAACCTACCAGATGTGCAAGATTAATTTTAATTTGCTTATGTGCTTTAACTTTTCTCCAGTATTTGAGAACAGTGAGCACTGAGAACAGTGAGCATTGGCTCACTGGCCACAGCAGATAAACCAACGCAGGTGACTCCTTTCAATCTGACTCATACTGTTTCCTCACAACAGGGCTGATTCCAAGAGAAAAGCACTTATTCTAAAGACTAAGTTTTCTTATATTCACAACATGAGGATTTGGTTTTTAATTTAAATGCACTGGAAAATAGTGGGAATGTTTTCCACTTCTACAAGGCTCAGTTATAGATGCACAATGGTTTAGGGAGAAAGGAGGACCTGTTTACGCCCATTCTTAGCTAGGAAAAGAAAATGCAAATTAAATTTCAACTTTATCCTTTCTTCCTTGAATTTCTCTGGTACCTCCTTCCCAGTGTGTGTGCAAGCTAGCCCTGTGTCCTGTTTTCTACATCTTTTCTAGAGACTCGAGAATAAGAATACCAAACTGCAGCGACTTGGATTTTTAGAGATTTAGGTACTCAGTACCTGATCGCCCCTGCTATCCTGGATAAATAAGCCCCACTGGGAACAAGGTCACGCATTGAATAGTTTTGCTCGAGCATGGACACAAATTTAAACACATCCCAGGGGGACCAATGGGATTTCCCTTTGTTTCTCTTAGGAAAATGAGAACAGAGAACATTTTTCAGAAAATAAAAGTCTCATCCACACGTTCCCTGCACCTTGATCCGGCTTCATATTTCTAGCCTTTTCCCAAAAGTGGTTAGCACAGACATCCCCGAGAAAGCCGTCTCCAAAACACTGTGCGAAGGGGCACGAAAGAAAATATGTAAAGAAGAATTTTCAAGAAAACGCTTAAATAGCTTAAAAAAAAGGCAGGAAAAAAGGATCAAAACATGCTATGAAAGTGAAATACAAATATAGGGGAGGAAGTACAGACCTCAATAGGACAGGACAGTCCTAAAAACAGATGCCATAAGGGACATTTTGCTGATGGAGGGGAGAGGAGAAAATCCGTAAAAGAAAGCAAAGGGTGGGCGGCCAGAGGGCGCGCGTGCACCTGTGTGCTTAGGGGGTACGTGTGCGTGGACAACAGCGAGCAGACGGGGTAAAATTACTCTTGGAACAAACACTGTCTCCCTGAAGAGCAATGTGGACGGACCGTCAGGGAATTTTCCATAAATGTACCGATCCTTGGCGGTGTCGGGAGGGAGGGGGCGCAGCAGGGGGACTGACTCGGGGGCAGCTTCCGGCTGCGGGGCCGGCATGTCCCGCGCGTCCGGCTGGGTGGCTGCGGGGCCGCGCGCGCTCAGGCCTCCGCCCCGCCCTGCTCCTGCACCGGCCGCGACGCCTTCTCGGGCGCCCGCAGCCCGTCGGCGCCGCCGCACGTGTCCGGGAAGCGCGGGCCGTTGCCGGCGAAGGAGTCGCGGCGCGCCAGGGTCTCCTCCTGCACCGGGCGGCCCACCGGCTCCGCCGCGCCCGCGCCCGCCGCGCCCTCCTGCGACGTCTGGCTCACGTAGACCACGATGATGTCGCCCTTGAAGTTCATCACTTGCCCGCTGGAAATGAACGTGGAGTTGCTGTTTCCAGTCACATTTCCTGCGGGGCAGAGGGAGCGAGAACAGGAGAGGTGAGTCAGCGCCTCCGGGCGAGGACGCGGTCTTGTGAGAGGAAACTTCCCCACGAGTGGCGGCCGGGCGGCCCCTGTGCTACGGGACGGCTCCATGCCCCTTCTGGGAACTGCACCGGTCACCTCGCCAGGCCACACTGCAGCAGGGCGGGGAGGGCGGGAGGAAGGAGAGAAGAGGGAGAGGAGAGAAACGCAGCAAGCCCGGGGCCAGACTGGCAGGAGGGCACCGCTGGACTGTCCACGCACAGACTCAGATGGCACAAAAGTGCGATCAGCCTGCAGCAAGCACCGCCGACGGCCCAGCTGCGGTCGCCGAGCCCGCCTGGGGCCACCTCCTCTCCCACTGGACTCTGGACGTCCCACTGGACGCATCTGAGGCCTCTGCCGCCCTGCGTGCCTCCCACCTGCCATGGAGGTCCCCAACAGCCCATCATGGGGCCGAGTGGGCTCAGTTTTTTTATTATAGGTTAATATAATAAATTTCCTTAACATTTAAAAAAATTTACTCCTGGAAATAAAGAGATTCACAAAACTAAAATGGAAAAAAAAAAAATCGTATAAGTCACTCTTCCTTTCTGAACCCTCAAGGGTGTTTTGTCCCCAAGGGCTTCTGTCATCATTCTTTGTGGGCAACTAGATGTAGCCAGTCTTTAATTAATGGACCTTTTGAAAAACAAATAGAAAGTTCCACAAATGTTAGGAAATGTAATGTTTCCTACCTGTTATTATTCTTCCATTTTAAAGATTGACATTCCAGAAATTTCCCAGGTAACACATAAGTGCCACAAACCAAGCAGATCTAGGAACTTCCCAACACTCCCCATCACAAACAGAACGTTTTAGTCCAACCAGGGGACATGAGCATCAAAACACCTCCTCAGGGCCGGGCGCGGTGGCTCACGCCTGTAATCCTAGCACTCTGGGAGGCCGAGGCGGGCGGATTGTTTGAGCTCAGGAGTTCAAGACCAGCCTGAGCAAGAGCGAGACCCCGCCTCTACTAAAAATAGAAAGAAATTAACTGGACAACTAAAAATATATAGAAAAAACTAGCCGGGCATGGTGGCGCATGCCTGTAGTCCCAGCTACTCGGGAGGCTGAGGCAGGAGGATCGCTTGAGCCCAGGAGTTTGAGGTTGCTGTGAGCTAAGATGACGCCACAGCACTCTAGCCGGGGCAACACAGTGAGACTCTGTCTCAAAAAAAAAAAACAAAAAACGCCTCCTCACTATTCACCTTCCTTACCTTTTTTCTTCTCTGTAGTGACTCAGCATAATAGTAATTTATACAAATAAAATGAAGTTTCTGTTACCACTCTACATGAAGAGATTTTCCCCACATTTGGAAGGCATGTTTTGGACGGTCTGACTAAAATACCAATAGGCATACAGGAAATTCCTTTCAGGAACCTTCCCCCACCCACAGGGCACCTGCAGAAAAGCCAAGGTTGAGGCTCAGCGAAAAGTCCACGAAAACAGAGGAATTTCAAGTGTGAGCAACAAATCAAAATTCACAAAGGGAGTTCTGGGACTCATGCTGTTTCTCCCATAGGCAGTTGTATGGGATATACTCCAAGATGGGCAGTGGCAGGGATTTATGTGCCTAATAACTGCTAATCAACGTGAGGAAGGCTGGTGATTCTGTGTAGCAGCTAGCCAGCACGTTCTCCATGCCTCTAAAATACACCGGCAGGTGCTCCGAACATACAGCGTACACTAAGCTCGCTCTCGAGTACGTCTGTGCCTTTCTGTTCCCACCAGTTGCTGAGTTACTTCTCAAGTCTGTTTTCACCAGATGAACTCACGAAGAAATTTAATTAAATATCTACTATGTAAAGCAGTGAAATGTAAGTGTGGAAAAAATGGGAAATGTTTCTAAGCAAACTAAATGTTTTCAAGGACCCAAATAAAAGTGATTAAAAAAAAAAATACAAACACAAGAAAACAACAGCAATAAACTGTACAACTGGTGTAGTGGTGTGGGCAAGGAAACTATAAAAAAAAACAAACAGAAAAAGGAGGGACATCCAGTTTCAAAATGGCAGCATAGAAGCAAGCTGGCTTCACCACCACCACTCCCGCCAACAGAAAACCAAAACCAAATGTACAGCGCAGAGATTATCACCACAAATATCCCAGATTAGACAAATATGATGAGACTGTTCCTGGGACAATAGAGAAGTGAGAAAGAAGGAAAAAGAAGAAGAAAAAGAAACATGAGAAGTCCAGAAGGATTTTGCTTTCAAATTTGTTTTGCACATATTTCTAACTTCTCATTTCACACTAAAGCAATGGAAACTGGAAATTAAGATGGCATGGTTAATGTGAAAAAGGCTCAGGAAACTATCAGCAGCCAATATATATGGTCTTACGCTAAAAATAATCAGTGTGTGAATATAAGTTATATGGTTTAAGTTAAAAACAATTTAAGATATGAATTTGTAAAATGACTTTTTCAAGTAACTCAGCCGCTACTGACCAAGGGCTGATAAAAGGGCCTCTCCCACTGTGGTAGCAGAGTAAGTGGGCATAGCAACACAGGAGAAGCCTTCCTACTTGAGGGACCACTACTTAGTTAATAGAAAAAGTCAAAGTGAGAAATAAAAAATTATATGTACTTACCATAAACACTGATTAAAAACATACATTTAATAAGTAATTTTAAGTTGCTTAGAAGTATGATTTTTCTTGACATAGTTCTCCTTTTTTATTATTACAACATCATCAGCTGCTGATATAAAACCACAGAGGACATCTCTAGCCACTGCATGATTGATTTATGGTTTTAAATTTAACCTCATTTCTTCTTTATCCTCTTCACAGATTTATCTGTTTATGTCGTGATATATATGATTTCTCCACCATTTAAAATTTTGTTTTTCAACAAAAAATCATCATGAATCCATTGTTGTTTATTTCTTCCTTGTCAAAACCTTCAATTAGTTTGAGCCCAGGTAAAAAGATGATGTTTTTTGACATCATCTTGTACATCAAGATTTTGTGTTAAATCTTTCATGTTGAGAATTTCATTCCATGCCATTGCCCCATGGCAAACAATATCTTTGATACTGATATCCTAAATATTCCATAGGACCTATATTTGTTCTTTTTTTCTATTTTTTTCTAAAATGGAACTCAAACCCTTTTGCCTAAGTGATATATTTAAACATTCCCAAATCCTTTGATTCATAGATCGAATCAAAAGTATTATTCTTGGAGGACCACGGGGGATAGGGAAGGACAAAAACTAGGGCCTTAAAATTCCTGACTATTAGGATGTAAAGAAAAGTTACCTAGAAAGATCAGGAGATTCTCAAATAAGTTTTTTCTTCAAGTGTTTCTTTATCAACGGTGCAATTAATGTGAAAAACAACCTTCAATCAAGTCCATCCATGCTGAATTTTGTGAGAGATAGTAAACCGATACAGACTAAACATTTTTTTAAAAAGTCCTACTGATTTGCCAATCACAGTAAGTGGCAATTTGTAAGTGGTGGCAGAGGGTCTTCATGGGTGGGTAGCCTATGCAGTTGCTCAGAAGGGCCCCATGATTGGTTGAATGCTCTGCTGTCATCTTGAAATTCCTATTCATTTTTGTGCAAGGGGGTCTCGCATTTTCATTTTTACTGGGCTGTGCAAATTATGCTCCCAGTCCTGAGGGATGGGCAACTCTTAGAAGTATCTTTCTGTGTTTTCCCCCATTGATTCTCTAATTTAGCATCACTGTTTTTGGCGGTAACATCTTAGAAGTTGGACATGTTTTAATATTGCTGAAGTGTCTGCCGATCAAATTTTGTCTACGGATGAACTACATATTCAGTAAAACACTGAGTTGTAGAAACTATCTATTGGTGTTCCCAAAATCCTGATGTTTTCCTGATGTCCATGCCACCCGCCACTTGCTGTAAAACCCTCAATGTCAACTTTCTGATGTAAAACTGAGGCCTGTCCCTTTGAGAATGGGTCTACCTGACTCTATCAATGACACCTCTAATGCTTTGCCTACAATATCTAGTTTTGGTTTCTTTAACTAAAATTCACTTGCCAAGCAGTCTAAGTGTAAAATCCTTCTAGGGTTTTATTCCTCCCATCTTTCATAGTTGTCTCATCCACCTCAACTTTAATAGAAAAAAAATTGTAGAAACTCATTCTTTGAATTGTCCCAAAGCATTCAGTAGTTTTCAGAGAAACATCCTCTTAAGTATCAAACTCATATTTTCACAGTTAACATAATAGAGTTTTAAATTACTACAAGATCAGCTCACACTCGCAGAACCGAGAACACCCCTGGGCTTTGGTAAGCACAGCCACTCCCGGTGGCAGTAGAAGGGCCCGGGTATTCTAGAGGGACCCACTAGTGCGTGTCAGTGGGCTTCAGCTGGCTTCCTTCACAGAGGGAAGGGAGGATGAGGTTTAATCTGTGGGTTAAGTGGAGAGAGATTAAGAGCTTCCACAATAACAAGAGTAACAGAAACAACACTGCACATCCAGAATTTACTGAGTGCTCTCTCCAGGCCCTGCTGGCCGCATCACACACACTAGTTTACAGGCACTTTGCATCTAAGCATTCCAGGTTTGTTGGGTTGTTTTCCCCTCTACAGACTGACACTGTTTCAAGGATGAAAACTGTCTAATAGCCTTCTTTTTCCGTGGCTTGTCACCATCCAGATTCACCTGAAAGTGCTCTAATAGTGTGAATGTCATGGTGGCGTTTCAGTCCTTGAAGAGCAGAGGTAAGTAGTGACTGCAGGGATGGGGGTACTAACGGATGCTTGAGTACAGGAGGGGCAGACATGGGGTGGGACAGAGGAGACAGCAGGGGTCCAAAAGCTCCCTGGTCTTGTCCCAGTGTGGCCCTCACTAGTGGTGAGAATTTGGGACAAGTCATCTAAAAACTCTCCAGAGTTATCAAACCATGCTAGCTTGGCAGGGTAGAGCTGTACAGAGCAAATGCATAATACATATTTGTTAAATA